CCATTTTACCCTTTCAAAGTAGATCTCAAACTTCCTTAGCAATGATGGCATTTTTTTCAATTGACTAAAATAAAAAAGGGATTAATAGGATTTAGGGTGACTGGAAAGAAGGAGCCATCTCTAAAGGAGATTTCAGAACACAGGCAAGGGAGATGGAGAGGCCTTTCCCAACACTTTGCTTTCTTGTTAATACTCCACCTTCATTTAGTGCAAAACTGATGCCAAATCACTTCTTTCTCTCAATGTTAGTACACATATATAAAATATGTGTATAAAATGTGCATAAAATATGTATATAGGAATTATATAGATATAGATGCGAAAAGGGAAAGCATGATGAGCCTAAGGCACACAGGTATTTAGGAGGCAGCCAGTAAAGGGCTGAAGGAACAGGGGAGAAATCATCAACTAATCAGGCCTTTCAGAAGCCAAGGACAGTTCAGCAAGTGTTAGAGAGAGGGACAGGGAGGGAGAGCGACACCTCACAGTGGCTGCAGTGGCTGATGGAGGAGCTACAAGCCTTGCAGACACATGGTTGGGGCTGCAGCCCTGGTTTTTGCCCCCTGTCTCTGTTCAGCAGCACTGGATGGAACAAGGTGTTGTGTTTCTATTTTTTGTTCCAACAGCATCACTCTGAAACTCAGAGGCTCCCCAGGAAAAGGAGAACAAAGACCTGTATTTATGCCAGGAGCAGCTTCTCTGCTTTCCACTGAAGAAGGAACCCCTGGACAAAGGGCTGGGAGTGTCCCCACGTGCCATGGGAGCTGTGCAGGTTGGACCAAACTCACCCACCCCTCCGAGATCCAGCGCTCCAGGGAAAACCTGGATGAGTGTTAAAAATGGCTGGAGAGAACATGTGACATCTCCATGGATTGCCTGGAAGCCTGGACCAGAGCACAGGAGGAGTTCACCCTGTTTCCAAGGAGCACAGGGAGGATAATTGTGCTGATGCTGGGCGTGCCCAGCTGGTTCAGATCCATCAGCCACTGCCAGGCCGAGTGCCCAGGGATGGGGATGGGGATGCTGCCAGTGTGTCTCTGCCTGCAGGGGCTGGGGAGGGACAGGGAGTGTGGGGCAGCAGCTGAGTCCTCGCTTGTCTCACCAGCTCTGTAAAAACAACTAGGAGAGGCAACCAAATGGCAAAAAAACCTGCCTTATGGTCCTTAAAACTGCTTTTCTGCATTCCTTCTGGTCTCCTTCCAGCCATTGAGTAAGCTATTGTTTGCTGCAGTAGTAAGCTAAATAAAAATTAAATCTTTTTAGGGATTATACAGCTTTTATTTAACAATTACTCTGCCACTAATGCTAACATGATTTAGATGTTCTCTGTTGTGGAAGGTTCAACACTGGCACATGGACACGGCGAGAATGCCCAGCTGCAAAGTCCCTCTGATATCCAATTAACATATGGGCAGTTCCATGGAACATAGTCCATAGACTTTTTTATATTTCTTTGGAGGATGAATGTTTTTGGAGACAAGGCCTACGGAGTAGGTCAAGCAACATGATGTACAACATCAGCTTTATCTAAGTGCAGTGGACCTTTATCCAGCCCTAAGTTAAAATAGTACTTTTTGCAATAAACATAATTTAAAAAAAAGGGAAACCCATTTTGTTGCCCATTTTGGGAGGGGGTGGGGGGATGGCTTCCACCATCAGAGACCCCAAATGTGTAGCTGTAGCTCACCTGTCCACGTGGTGCTGCTTACACACCAGCTGACACTGGCCTTGCTACGAGAGTGCAAAAGCAGGTGAAACCCAGGAGTGATCTATAGCACTATTTATTGTGGCAGCTTTGGGTCATTACACAGGTCACATATCTGCTTTATTGGATTAGCAGTGAACACATGTGTGCATCACACACACAGAGCAAATTCCTGTCTCTTTTGGTCTGGATTTTTGGAAGGCAGCAAGAAAATCCCATTTCTCCTTTACCATGGCAGGACAGAAAGCTTTGCCCCAGCACCTGCCAGCCTCATCCCAAATCCCTGCCCAGCCCTCCTTCAGCCATGCACAGGTGTCCCCTCGTGTCCCACTGTTGTCCCATGAACCTGAGCCACTGCTTCAGCCTCCCCCTCAAGCCACTTGTGCCATGCAGGCTGGGCAACCAGGCACAATCCTGGTTTGATGGAAATCAAAGACAAATCTCCCATTTCTGGCAAGATTAGCTGCCCTAAATCTCCATCACCAGTGCAGCTTTTTAGGAGCACAGTAATTCTCCACCAAATTGAATCTTCCCTGACAATTGGCAGCACATCAGAGACAATTCACAGGCATATTTTTTCCCCTTTCCTAACAGGAAATAGGGTTTGTGTTACATTTACAGTGACCTGGAGCTCCGGGGGCAGACTAATATCTTACCTAAACAAACAGACAGTATTTCTTCCCTGATACAGGCAGATGGTGTGGGAAGGAAAGCCAACTTGGTTGTGGCCTTCCCAGCTCCCAGCAGCAGAGTGGGAGGTGTCAACAACACACAAACCTGCGAACACCAACTCGAGGATCCTCAACACAGCCCGGGAGGACAGTTCAGAAGGTTTGGAGCTGTGGGTCATTGTTTGCACTTGGTCCTTGTTTCTGTTTGATGAAATTACCATTGTCTCGCCTCCTGTGCACCTCAGCAGGGGCCCCTCTTGCAGTCTGAGCTGGGGGTTTCCTCACTGCTCAACCCATGGCAAGGCAGAGAGGACCCAAACGGCCCCTTCTGCCAAACCTCTTCACCTCCCTGGAGTCTGCAGCATTTTCCCAAAAGCCTCCCACTTGCCCTTGTGGGGACAGGGAGATAATGCTGGGCTTTATTTGTGGTGGATTTAAAAAAGCAAACTCCACACTGTGTGAACCGACTCTGGGGGACAGGAACTTGCACCAGATGTCACAACTGTTCAGTGTCCGACTGACGAGAGCGCCTTCAGAAATAAGAAACGCCTACATGTGCTTGCAAGAAAAATGTATTCAGATACTATTTTTCTTGGATTTCCCTCCCCTGATGCACTGCTGTCTGCTGTGCCCTGAAGTGATAGCCTGTTCATCCCTTGTAAAAATCAGAGAAACAAACCCAAACCGATGGGGAAATCTGGCGATTGCAAAACTCCACCCCACACGTGCACCACACTAACCATGCACAGGAAAAGCAGAACTGAAAAGAAGCTTCACACCCATTAATTCCAAATGCCAAAGGCACCAGAAAATGCTGTTTCAATGCTCTCCTATCCCAGTAACAGGACTGACCTCTCTGCTGCCCAAAATCCACTCAGCTCAGCAGCCACTGCTGTCCTGGTATAAACAGGCTTTGCATCACATCCTCAGCTTCCCCCACTGTGCACAGGATCAGGCCTCCTGAAGATCCCATGCCTTCAGGATACCCAAGGAGAGCACAGTTTAGAGCTGAAGGCAATGTCTCCCAGTCTCAGATATTTTTGGTTTCTAGAAACAAAACCTCTGCAGCTCCTCCCCTGCATGTCTGTGCCCTCATGGCAATGAGGGAGGCACAGAAAGGTGGAGGAACTCCCCAGTAACTCAGGGTGTGCACCAGTGCAAGGGAGTCCCTCTGTGCAACACCTTCCTGAGCCCTGACCCATCCCACAGGATTCCTGGCTGCATCCAACACAGGAAAAAATACACTTCAGGCTGCTGAGAGCCAGACAAAGTCTGCCTGCATAGAGGAAAGCAGAACAGTGGCAGGAGGAGTGAAATCCAGAGTGGGATAAATGTCTGCAGCAGCAAATATTCTCTGGGGGAGCAGCACAGACACGGTGTCAGAGAGGCAGAGCTGCTGCTGCAATGACTGGCTCTAAGCTGTTGTTTTGGCTTTCCAATGCAACCACAAGTCTGTTCATGTTAGGCACAGACCTCTCTCTCCCTGGTTATTTCCAGGAATCAGCCATCAGCAGCTGACAATTACAAGAGCAGTGTGAGAGCTGTGGCTGCCCAGTCTCCGCAGGTCTGAGTCTCTTGGGTCACTTTTTTCTGCAAGAGAAACAGCTGTTGACCTTTGGTTTTCCGTGTCACTCATTGCCATGGTGTTGGACAGAGGTATTTTAGGATGACCATATCTGTTTACACCCACAGTTACAACATATCCCCTACAAATCTCACTGTTAGGTGGACGAGCAGTGTGCCAGCCAGCCGTCACTCCCACTTGTGTGGATGCTCCCTAATCACTCCCTTCAGTAATTCTGCTAGGCCAGGGTTGAATTTGGGAAAGCAACTGAATTTTAACTCCCTGAATCTATTTTGGGGCCCCCAAAACCTCCTGCTGAAGCTCAGTGAAACCCTATGCCAGCCTCAAACGAGTGAGAATTTTCTGTGACTGCATCCTGTGGTTTCAGCTGGTTTTGCAATTAAGTTTGTGTCCTACTTTCGGTCTGAATTTCAGCTGATGCCATGCTCAGCTCAGATAAATCAGAACCCTAAAATGAAACTCAACCCTCTATAAGCCTCTTCTCTGAACTAACTGTTGCCCTACACCTTATTTTTTTGTTGTTATTCTTTTCCCCACCTCATTTCCAGTCAAGTCAAAGTCTCCTCTAGTCACTCCACTGCACAAGTGAAAAGAGCCTCCCAGTGTGTTTGGAGGTGGCTACCAGGCCTTTCCTTCCAAATGCACATTAATCAGTGGCTTTACTTCCAGCCCTCAGGCATTCCTGGAAATATAAACTCGAGAAGCTCTGTTCTCCACGGATGGGCTCTGAATCCTGGGCTCAGCATCCCCCAAAAATGCAGCTGGTGTGCACACATGGATGATTTCTGCCTGTGCATCAGGAGCTCAGCACACATGACAGTGTTGGTGCAGCCTGAGAAGCACTTTCTTACCTTATTGATAGTCCAGAGTATGAAAAAGCAGGAAAGATAAACAAGCAGGAGTGGTTTATCCAGTGAAGAGCAGTGGTCAAGTGGCTCACAGCCTTCAAGGGCTCAAGGGCTTCCCATCTTTCCAGGAGTTTGAAGTGGAGAAGCTGAAGTTGGGGGTTCAGTCCCAGGCTGAGGCTCCAGAGGGGCCGGGCAGAGCCGCCCCTGTCGCCGCAGGTCGGGACCTGCTGGGTCCTGCTTTTGGTTTTGCAGCTGAACGTGTTGCCTCCATCTGGGTAAACAAGGAGCAGAGAAATTTAACATTACAGGCAAAATACAGGAGAGGGAAGGAGGGTTGAGCAGCTTTTGGCTACACAGCAAAGAAACTTGGTGGGATTTGGGCTTCGACTCAGTCACATCCTCATTTTTCAATCCAGACGGCAAAAAAGAGCAAATGCCCAACAACAGGGGGAAAGGGGAAAGACCTTTCAAGGATTGTCTTTCAAGGATTGTACCTTCCATGCCAGCAGCATAACCTGTGAGAACTCAATTTGATTTTAATAAAGACATTTTTAAAAAAATCAGATCCTCGAATCCTGTCATATCTGGGAGTACCTGAGGATCTGCCTGGATTGCAGAGAAAGGTGCCCCACTGCAGGTCTCTCATGCTGGGCACCCCCAGTGCACATCCCTGCCACAGCAGATCCTTTCTGGTCTGTATTTCCTGCAGTGGAAATTGGGATTGAGGGAGCTCTGCTCCAGCACTGCTCCCCCCCAGGAGCTGCAGGGGCTGGGGCTTGCACATCACCCCAGGCACTGGATGTGCTGCAGGTCCTATGATGGAGTTTGGCCAACTGGAATAGAAGTAAAATATCAACTTACAATATTTTTTAAATGTATAAAGGAAATATTAATGATGGACAAATAGCAAGTATAAGTAGTGAGGAGAAAAGAATGACTGAAAAAACCCTAGAAGCCCTTACAAGCAGTTGGCATTGGTTCAGGCTGTGTATTCATCTAGATACCAGAAATCTGCCCCAAAACAAGAGAGCTGTGGAAAAGCTGGTGAAGTTTCCTTTTCTTAGCTGTGAGTGTGAGCCCGTATATGGCTCTAATTTTTTTTAAGCTATCAGATAATAACAGATGCACAAAGCTTTCTCTGAGACCCTCTCCCTCACACACACACAGACATACACCACCCAAATCAGACCCAAACAGGATGGTGTGGGCAGAACAATGGGAAGCAGCTGGTGCTGTAAAACAAAACACACAAAAGGAAAAAGAAAAAGCACAAGCAAAGTGGTCAAGTAACTGTCTCCTTGTCTCCTGCCCTCCTCCACCTTTTTTTTTTTTTTGGTAACTTGATTGCAAACCAAACCTCAAAGCAGATCTTTGGGTTGGGGAGTCAGGGCAGGAGAGGAAGGAGGAGATAACCTGCAATTTCCTCAAATCAGGTCTCCTGCATTTTCACAGAGGTAATTTGGGGAGAGGAGCTGGGCAATGGAGCTCTGTGAAAGCCCAAACTCCCTAAAATAAAGAAGAACATCTGGTGCCATCCATGGACTTTGATTGCACTTAAGCAAGGTTCTTTTCTATTCAGGATCAACTGCATTTATTATTCTTCTACTTTCAAATTGTCAAGCAGTGAGTCACAGAGTGACAAAAATGTGATGTGATTTATGGTACCCATCTTGTACAGGCAGTAATATAAAAGGTGTAAACAATATATTATTGCTGTCATTCCTGTTGGCATATTATTAAGAGTAATCAAGGATCCACTAGATTCCTCTGTCACATCCCAGTACAACATCTTTGTCTGTAGAAAATACATAAATTGGGAAAGTAACTGAAACAAAGGCAGGAAAGGCTCATGGGTTACATGCTCCTGGATCTGAAGTCAACTTCAGGTCTACTTTTTTCTCTTATCTTTTTTATCATATATCCAAAAAAAAAAAAAACAAAAACAAAAAAAAAAAAACAAACAGTTTCAGTGAAAAATCAAAGGCAGCTTTTGAAAAGTCAAAATGAGATGGAATGTTTCGCACCAGACAAATACACGAGATTTGTCCTGCCAGCATAAGTACGTGAGGAACCAGCCATGTGCTCTACCCTTTTTATTCCTCTGAGCTGTGTAAACTACTCAAAACTGGAGGGCACATGTCACTCACACTGACATGCAAATCATTACTGCTTTGTCTGCCAGCAAATCTGTGTAAACCAGTGCTGAGGCCAGGTTCATTACATTGACATTTTTACCAACAAGTAAATTGAAAGGTTACATTGTTGACATACCAGATGTTATGCAAACTGCTTTTCAAACCATGGTTTCCATACATCTCTATAAATAAATAAATTAGACACTTACAAATGGTGTGTGAATCAATATATGGCAAATCACCCGTTTATACACACATAGCAAAAACTACTGTGTGTAAACCCCATATTTCACACAATGTCAAAACCTCCTTTTCCACCCAGTACTTTTCATTTTCCCGAAAATAGCTGTCATCTATGTAAATGTTTTCCCTCAAGACCAACTGTTCTTCATGGTAAGAACAGTGCATGGAAACCTGGGTGCCTGAATTAGCACATGGTGTCAGCAATGGGAGCTCAGAATCCAAGTGAGAGTTAGGCCAAGACACAGCTTTAAGGATTTGAGTCTATGTGTCTAAAAGAGTAGATTTGCATGTGATAAGTTCAGGCACACTCAGTTGTTTAATATGGATTTTCTCCAGTTTGGATTAAGCCTCAGGGTATTTTGACCCCCTCTTTCTGCATTCCCTCCTTGACTCATCTCTACCAACAAAAATAAGCAAAATGCTATTTGTCCAATGAGATACTTATTTGAGACTGACTCTGCCTTCCTGGAGATGCCAATCAGGACTGAGCTTGCAAATACAGTCTCTGTGAAGTACCTGTGGCCCAGAAGGAAATCACAAGGGTTATTAATGCAATTTTAAAATGGTGCTGCACTCCCTCAGTCTCAGGACTAAACCCAAGAGGGTCTGCACCAAGCTTGGCTTAGAAAGGCCTTCAGGTACCTCAGGCTCCATTACTGCAGGAGAGGTGCTTGGTCCCTGTTCCTCAGTGTCTCCCACTGCAATCATCAGTTCTCCAGAAGTCCCCTGCAGTGCCCCTGATTTCTTGCCATGCCCAGTTTGCAACCTATGAATGGATTCCAGTGTAAATCAGGGCAAAACAGATTCATTTCCTAAATCTCCAGTTGCAGAGAAATGAGATTTCTTGGAATGATGGTGATGCCTTCTGCCAGTTGCCTCATCCCCTAATCAAAGAAATGTCATAACAAATCAGGACCTTGCATACATTCAACACACAGAATGGTTTCAATACACTCCAAAAGGCTCCTCCAAGCTGCAAGAAACCTTGATCAATGCAGCCCCTTCTCAACCAGCTGTGACACAGGACTGTGTCTTTCCCACTTTATAATTCTTTGCTGAGTGCTCATTCTGAAATTGTTTCATAACCACATGAATTTGGAGTTTTCATTTCACCCTTGGAAGAAATGTAGAGTCTGGCACGCTGACAAGTATAACAGTGTGTAAAAGCACAATTAACTTATGCTCCCACCCCATTTTTTTACATTTCTAAGGAAGCCCTGAGATTTCAGAGTGGTTGTTTTCACCTCAGAGCCAGCAGCACACGAGCCCTTCACTTCATCAGAGCCAGTCCCCCAGCATAGCCTGCTCTGCCCCCAGCACAGCCTGCTCCTGCCCCAGCACCAGCCTTCCTCAACCAGGGAAATGGGAATTAAAAAGGCCAAGTGGAGTCACACACAGCACTGACAGGCACTGTAATCCCCATGGGTTTTTTTTTAGTACGACCAACTTTTCATTTCAAAATGTGGATTTGTCTATACCTAAACAGGCAACACCTTAGAGACTAAAGATCATACAAAGTTTTGCAATATGTTTAAGTAGAATACGCTGTAGTTATCTGCTTGCCAAGTATTTTGTGATCTTGGATTCTTGACTCACCTTGATAAGGCAGCTGAAAAGAAAACGGTGTCAGACACTCCGTGTCAAGAACCCAACACTACAAATGTTTATGAACTTTGTGTCCACCTGTTTTCCAAAAACAGTTTGGGAGAGCAAAGGTGATTGTAAATGTTGGCAGAATGTGGTCCCTTCTCTCTGACCAGGACAGGCCATGTGACAGAGCAGTGGGGGGAAATGGAGGTTATTGAGGAAACTTTTTAATTAGTTTGAGGCTGTTGAAGGAGCAATGCTGGGTTCCCCATGTTGAACATGATGCTGTATCAAACCACTGCTTCCAGCTTGGTTCCCTGATGACTTCATTTTACTGCCACTTGCTTCCCTGAGATCTCTGAGTGACACCATTTAGAGGATCTCCCTTGCATTTCATCTTCTTCCTGGTGAGTGTAGACCCTGAAAACTCTTTGTGGATCTTCCAATATATCTCAGCAATTATCTGTTTTCCTTTCAGTCACCCTTGTATTGATCTTTCTTTGGCAGCTACATGTAGATATCTCACTAGCAAGTGGTGCTAACACAGATCAGAGGGGCTTTCAGATTTAATCACCTTAATAATCGCCTTAATAATCTTGAGTCAAGGAAAAAAAAAAATCCCTCCAGAGTTCATCTGTCTTAAATTCTCTTAGAGTTTGTTTTAGATATCCACCAGGCTTGCCACTTCTGAGGGAAAATAGTTTCAAACCACTATCAAGAGCCTGTCACTTGAGAAGCCCCATCCCTTGGATGGTGGCTGGAGGGAGGCACAGCCAGGGCTCACATTTCCAGCAGCATCCAATAGCTCTGCACATTTGCTTTGCTTTACCACCAACACCAGACAGACACTCTGCCAGACACAATCATCTGTATCTAGCCTGGCAACTCAGAAACCATCCCAAGCACATGTTGTGAAGAGCCTGGCTGGTAAAGGAGGAGCAGCAGCTGCAGCAAAGGATAAAACTGCACCTAAAAGCAGAACAAAACACCACCACGCTGAGCCTTTGCTCTGTTTTACAAGCCCATGCCCAGATCTGTGTAGGGCTTTAAAACTCTGTTTAAATACATAGATAAATAAATAAAAGTATTCAGCACTCCTAATGGTTGCAAGAATCACAAATTATAAGCAAAACACACCTAAACTCCCAGGACAAGCAAAGGAGACTGGGTATGTTTTATATTGGGAGGCTTTGCTCTGTGGATTCTGATTATTTTTTTTAATTGATTGTTCATTTTTAATGGAGTTCTAATGAAACACCCTTAAGCTCTGCAGTGGTTTGCATCTATGGCTAGCAAGCCAAATACC